TAGAGTTGATTTTACAAGATGCGAAGGTAACATATTTATAATTGATTTTATTTTTATACTTCCTCTTCTTTGTTGCTATAGTTCAAAAAATTTCCAAAATTTTCAAATAGATGAAACTATCCACGTGAAACTATTTGCGCAGCACCCTTATTTCTTTTTCTGTTTCTAACGTTACTTTATCAATTATTTATTAATTTCCAGCAATCCTCAAATATATGAAACTATCTACTTGAAGCGATTATGTGTTGTAGTTTTATTTCTATTTCTATTTCGAAATTTATAATTGTAGACAAAATTTCAGCACAAACAATTTATTACCAATATAATACATTCTAATAATGAATCTAGGAAACGAAATATAATGTTCCTCCTATATGTCTCTGAAATTGCTGCAAAATCTAAAAATAGGCATATTCTGCCAAAAAAAATTACAGTGGTTGTTGACAATCGTTTACTCTGTGAAACTACTGTAAATTCTTAAAATATGCAATTCTGCCAAAAATATTACAATGTTTGTAAGATGGTGATGATTGCACCGCAAAACTATCTCCTTTCAAGATCTATGACAAGAGGAGTAGATCCGCTAATAAAGCATCAACAGTAGTAGCAGATGACGACTTGAATTGTCAACTCTCAAGTAACACGGTTTACGTAGTGATTAAAAAAGAAAAGAATCCATGATTCTGTACTAAAATGACCTTAGCTACACAATTATGTATTTTCTTTGCTAAGTAGGTTTGTAAGGGACATTTTCTATTATTTGTCCAAGTTCATTCTGGAGTAAAATAGTATAAATATTAATCTAAATTCATCTTTATGAATCATGAATTTAATCAGCAGTGGCTTCACTCTTTCTGTTAATATTCTTTTATGCGACATGTTAGTTATTTGAAGTAACCGGTTGTTGAATGAATGTGTTGGGGAAGTTCAGATTTCTGAAGAATATAATCCATTTAATCTTTGTACAAGATATATTCGATAGTTCTAAACTAATAGGGAAGAGTTGCTTTTCCAGTAGTTGTGTGTGACTAATATGCTTCTTTGTTGAAGCGGAGGAGACGATATTTAGATTAGTCGACGATTTTGCTATTAAATACTACTGTTTGGGCGATAATATTGGATCTTCTATCCTATGGCTTAGTATTGAATGTCACACAGATTATTTATGAGATTTCTAATGTGAAATAGGATTAGTCTCCTAGGTGCAGAAACCTCCAATAAGCTAAAACTATGTTAGTACCAGACCATATATATTTGTGAAGTATTATATTTAATTTACATTGATATTGTCTTCTTCTGGTTCCTAGCCTTGATAATGGCAGCACCCCTCTGCTGCACAGTAGCTATGAACTCTACATTTATTTGAACGGAAATAAGATTAGTTTTTGAGAAATTATAACAGTGTGTATGAAGTAAGTTTCATATTAGCATAATATATAGGAATTTGCAGGCACAACACATTACCTTTTCACAAAATATTTCTCATGGTAGCGAAGATTCTTATTCATGTGGTGTAATTTTAAAGACACTTTTAATGAACAATTTGGTGTTTCATTGCAGAATCTTATATGTTAGTTTCGTTGTTATTTTACACTTATCTAACTAATTAACCTTTAAATACAATCACAGTTTACCTCAAATTTTATATGCACGTGGGCAATGCATGCATAATTCCAGAAATATATAGTCGATCAAAAATAGTTTCCATTGAGCCTAACAATGGTTAGATATTTGAAAGATGAACATGATTTCAATCAAAATGTCTAAATACTGCAATGTATATCATTGTCAACAGCTTTGCAGAAATTCAGGTAAAGCTTTACTCTGCTTTGCTCTGTGTGTGTGTTCGTGTTGTTAATTTTTGTGTGAAATTGATTTTGTGTTTCCCAATACGCTTCTTTCATTTAAAGAAGCCATTGTAAAACTAAAATAATCAGTCATTCAGGGACTCGGGGATCACTACTTGTGTTATAAATTCAATATGCATTAAAGTTATTCATGTTAACTAAATAACTCATTAATACATAGATCTTTGACAGAATTTCATGTTACATGGTACAGCTTAGTGGTTAGTATAGACATATACCAACATAGATAAAATAATGTCTGGATGTTACACAGTTTAGATACCATTAGACTATCAATCAACTCTGTTAGCAGCGTACATACTGACATTACTATTATGCCTCTGTTACTTATTTTAACATTGGTTATTCGCCATTCTTTTCTAGTGCTAGCAGATCAACCTGTGATGCGCATATAAACGTCAATCCATTTGTAGAATGTGCAGCTTACCAACTTAAATATCTCAGCTAAGCAGTGAAGGTATTAACTGAAATTACAAGTATGAATTTTGATGAGTTATTGAATCCTCACATGTATAAAATGATTACAAACATAAGTAGATATACCTAGATGGATTATAATTTTAAGTATACGTCATCTGTTTAGTGCATTGTTAAGGCTATTGAGCCAAACTCAAATTTTAAATGTCACCACATCTTTGGCTACCCTGCAAAACACTAAAACTACCGAATTGTATCTTCCATATGCTCAGATTCATATGGTTACTGCACTTGCAGTGGAGAAGCTCTTGGAAATCTGGTTCTGGTTCCTACTATTTTCAGTAAATGAGTTGTTTTGAGGGAAGGAAAGTAAAATGTGTCCTCCCAGAAGGGTAATTGTGAAATCTCTTCCATTTCTTTCTCAAAATTATGAAGTATAGAATAGAAAACAAAGACAAATTTTCCTGATCTACTATAATTAACTACTGCAATTATTTTGAAAAAAATCAGTAAGAACATTACATAAAAGAAAAGGGTACTAAGAATCACCTTAAACTCGTAGTAAACTCAACCAACTTTTCGACTTCTGAAAACAAGAATTGTTCCCCATATTAAATAGGGTGACTTGGAGTTGATCAATTTTTGCTGAAATAAAAAATGGCTTAAACCATGTCTCCACTATTTGGGGTCGCAAAAAGAATAGATTTTACACTCTCGGTAATCATCTCTTTTACAAAGAGTTATTCCATGTGTAAAAGAGTCAATCATAAGGAAAGAAGATGAAAGATTGGAAATTCAGAATATACAAGTATAACAAATAACGAAAATATCAATTTACAACAACAACATTACATAGCATGAGTCACAGTAGTTGCTACTCCAGGCCACTAATAATTACAAATGTCTGCAGTTTGTGTGTGTAAACATATCATGCACAGCTTGATGAAGATTCAACACAATTTTTTCATATGCTAGTAGAGAAAATACGTAAGTTACTAATCGGTCCAGATTGATACATAAATAAAAAAAGAAAAGAACATGCATACTGGTGTTAAAGAAGAAATCCTTTTACTCTCAAAATAGCAAGTAGGTGAAAACTTCTGCATCAACATACTGTTGGTGTGTAACTGTATATAGCAATCTCGCAGTAACTTATGATGCAATTGGAAAGTAATTAATTTTTATATTTTAAACAGTTTTTATTTTTTCTACTTATAAAACAAAGAACCCATATAGGTAATACCAACTTGAAGAAGTTTCAATCCAAAGCTAACCATTTCTCGGGAAGACCATATGATCTAGATGATATGTGTAAAGAAAAGTAATTAATAAAGTCTGGTACTATATATTCACGAACGACTTTCTTCATATCAATGAGCTAAAATGTAGTCGAACTATAGAATTTCATGTGCCATGGTGTAGCTTAGTAGTTAGTAAAGATATATATCAAGATAGATAAAGAAATATTTGGATACAACACAATTTAGAAACCATTACAAATATCAATCAACTCTGTTTCAATCTCGAACCGGTTGATTGGCTATTGTTTAGACACCCTTGCATAATACAATACTAATTTACCGTGACCGTATTATGATTTCACTCAACACATTTACAATTACAACGACTAATTTGTTTTTTAGCTATATGAAAATAAGATTGACGAATTCTCCTCTTACAGTGTAAAATCATTGACAATATCGTTACAACCACCAACATATATACTAAAATATTCCTTAAGAGTTCCTTATCAGTTGGTCCACCACCCTAACCATCATGCTTCACAAATACTAAAGGCATACTGGCTTTTACTTGTTGCACTTATTTCAAGTGTCATTGGTATTCTGCCCGAAAAATTAAGCCACACATGTTAAAAAAATAAAGGAGTAATCTAAGTCAAGAGAGTTTTGAAACTGTATTTATCTCCAAGGATATCATATTTTAATGCATGCTTTATCTATTGCCAGAGAGTAGTCTGACTTTTTTAATCAAACACGTTGTAGGAACAAGTTATACGAGTTTAAGGTCCTACACTTCATTTTGCTCATATTTATTAATGACACATATATCCCAGTTATTTAGTTGTCCATATTTTTTTTTACTGAAACTTTTGTGCTTTCCATGTAATTTGCTATTTCATAAGATTTGTTACAGGGTTATATGAAATTGTGGCCTGTTAAAGTTATTCCTGGACCTGGTGATAAGCTAATGATTGTTGTAAACAACAGGAGTGCAGAGAAGCAGTTTGTTGTTTAAGAAACCTCTTCTATGGTGCTAACAAAGGTGAAGGAAATTGCTGAGGCCTACCTTGGCTCAACTGTCAAAAATGCCGTGGTGAATGTGACTGCATACTTCACATATCCATACGTTATAACATGGAGATGATTTACGTCTAATTATTGAGTAGCAGTTTAAGTATTTGCTCAGGTAGGAGTTAGCCTTCAGAGCTGTTCATAAATCTATACTACTATTTATAATTATGGCATTTGCAACTAGTGTTGATGTCGAGAACAAATTTATAAATTGAAAGCTCTACATTTATTCTTGCTTATCTCATAATTCCTTATGATTGTCAATGTATAGGCTCAATAATAAAAAAAATTCCAAATAATACTTCTTTTTAAATGTTATGTTTTATATTTTGCCCGCAAAGCACGCGTACGGATACTAGTTTAAAGAAAGAAAGAGAAAACTAAACTGGTAGTCAGTGGGACCCCACAGCAATAAGACCCTTGAGGACCAATAGAAGGACGGCATTGGACCAATTTCCTCCATGTGTGGACACCGAGCCACACAGCTTTCGCATCCGATCTAGCACAGTAAAGAAAATGCTGCTCTCTGCATTTCCTCCGCAGAATCCATTACCATTATCCAATCCCACCCACCCACCTCCACCCCCACCCCATCACCACCAACCTACCCTCCTCTTCTCCCCTACCTTCTACAAAGCAGCAACTACAGTTACTCACGCTTCTTCACAGAGACTACCACCACTTGCTCTCACCACTGCCGCCGCTACCTCCTCCACCTATACTTCTCTCCGGCACGTCAGCGGCACGTGCTCCGATGATGATTCCGACGGCGATGGAGACTGTATGGTTTCGTCGGCGTCAGCTGTTGCTGCGGCCATACGGAATGCTTCGACTTCACCGGTGGAGTTCGTGCAGAGGATTGAAAAGGATGACGGAGGCTTGGTATTACCGAGTTCTGATTTCAAGAGACTTTGCGTTGAACAATTCGACCTCTTTCGCCGTATAGTCCATCCTCAGTCTGTTCTTTCCGTAAGTAACATTTACCTTTGTTCACTGTGTTTTGATTAATGCTTTATTCAGTAGTTCAAAAATAATTTTCTACATCTTTTTTTAATCACAATAACATTCTAATATTCTAATATGACTATTTAATTTCATTACCTTAAGAAGCTTTATGTTTAGGTCTTCATGAATTTAAACGGTTCTTATCGTAAGAAATTCTGTTTGCTTTTTTGTTTTTAATTAATGCTTCTTCTTCAGAGTAAGATAATTTTCTGTATTTTGTGTATCTATGTTAATTTGCCTGGAATAAGAAGCTTTATGTTTCGGTTTTTGTTGCTGGTTGTTCTTTGGCAATTTGTACTGTTTTGAATTCGTTGTGCCTGCTGTTAGGTCTTCCATTTCCAGAATTAAGCTGCATTAAGGTCTAAGATAAGTGAAACTTCCAGTTAAGTTTGTATGGCTTGCCTATTAATGCTACTGCTCCTTTTTCTCTGCTCTTCGAAAATTACATATGGCAACCTGTAGAACTTAGTTCAGTTTGTTTCGCTCTCTGGACAGCGACCTAGCCTTAAGTCTATCTAGTGGTTCTGTTATAAGAATGCAACCTGTATATTCTGTTTCTAAGAGTATGAGCTTCCACCAATAGGCATTAAGTTTTTTTTTGATGAAGTAAGTAGAATATATCATAAAAGGCATCGGGAAGATGCAAAAGTTACAAAAGAAGTGAGTTTGACAGCTCATTTACAATTAAGTGCTACAAAACTAAAGAGCTAACAAAGTCCAAAAAAACATCAGAGTTATTTACAGTAGTAAGGTTAGCCCAGTGAAAAAATTAACCAAACATCTAGCCTTTAAGCAACCTATTGAAGTTGATAATCCATCAAAACATCTACTATTCCTTTCGACCCAGATACACCAAAAAATGCTTGCAGGTACCATATTCCAGACTTTCTTGATGGTTCTGTCAACTTCCCTTGAGCTACAGCTCACATATGCCTCTCTGGCATTGAATGGCATAGTCCAGTGTAGACCAAAAATACTAAGAAACATGTTCCATATGTCTGTTTCTACTGAACAATGGAGGAAAAGATGGTTAACAGATTCTGAGTTCACTTGACACATGTAACACCTGTTGGCCAGTTGAAAATTTCTTCTGGTGAGGTTGTCTTGGGTGAGGCATGCATCCTTTAAGGACAACCAGCTGAAGCAGCAGACTTTGGGTGGCAGTTTTGTCTTCCATACTAGTTTCCAAGGCCATAGATCAATCATCATACTGTTGGAGCACATTTTAGCATACCCTGCCTTGACAGAGTAAGTTCCTTCCTTTGAGTTTCCCCATTTCAGTTTGTCCTTCAGCTGGGTGTTTATAGTGCGATTCTCCAATAACTTTAGCAGGTCTATGTAATCCTCCACCTCCCAATCTTGCAGGTTTCTTCTGAGGATCGGGCCGCATGTGTTGCCTTCTCTGTTATGAGCAACAAAGGATTCTGTATTTCCTGCAATAAGAAAGAGATTTGGAAAAGCTTCCTTTAGTGTTGAGTCCCCTATCCATTTTTCAGTCCAGAATTTTGTAGTGGCCCCGTCGCCAATCTGAAAATGAATGTTATTAGAGAAAGCTCCCCATAAATTGTGTATGCTCTTCCATAATCCTGTGCCATAAGGAGTTCTAATTCTATTGGTACACCAATGGTTGAGTCTACCATATTTTGCTATGATAACTTCCTTCCATAAGCGAGCATCATCTTGATTAAACCTCCAGTGCCATTTCATCAACATACTTTTGTTATGTAAGGCTAGGTCCTTAACTCCAAGTCCACCAAGTGCTTTCGGAAGTGTGACTTTGGTCCATTTCACCAGGTGAATCTTGTGACTGATGTTATTCCCCTTTTCCCATTAGAAAGTTCCTTCTTATTCTGTTCAATTGCTTTTGAACCTTTGCTGGGATAGGAAAGAGTGCCATGAAATAGGTGGGTATGCTATCTAATACACTATTGATGAGGGTAAGCCTGCCACCAAGAGATATGTATTGCCTCTGCCACGTAGCCGATTTCTTCTCAAATTTTTCAACTACTGCATTCCATATCTCAGTAGACTTGTATTTGGCACCTAAAGGAAGACCCAGATATGTGGTAGGGAAGGAGCCTGTATTACAACCCATAATGTCTGCTAGGTCTAGCAAATTTGGTACCGAGTTCACTGGGTAGATAACACTTTTGAGCATATTAATGTGCAGGCCAGACATAGCTTCAAATAACATAAGAGTGATGTTTAGGTAGAGGACTTGAGACTTTTCTGCTCCACAGAAGATGAGGGTATCATCTGCAAACAGAAGGTGTGACACAGAAATAGGAGAGCTCCTGCTATTACCCACTGAGAACCCTTCAAACCATTGTAGTTGTTTAGCTTTTTCAAGCATTCTACTGCAGTCCCTCCATAGCCAGTATAAAAGGAAGGGTGAAGAGGTCCCCCTGTCTAATCCCTCTCTTTGGAGAGAAGAATCCCACTGGGCTTCTATTAACAAGAATGGAGTACTTGACTGTAGTGATGCAGTATCTAATCCACTTGATCCATTTCTCTCCGAATCCCATTTGTCTAAGTATTGAGAATAGATAAGACCAACCCAATTTGTCAAAAGCTTTTTCAACATCCAACTTGAGCAAAAGTCCAGCTTCCCCCGTTCTCATTTTCCAGTCCAAAACTTCATTTGCTATAAGAGCAGCATCAGTTATTTGCCTCCCTTTGATAAAAGCATTTTGATGACCAGAAACAAGCTTCCCTATCACCCCTTTGAGTCTTTCAGCAAGCACTTTAGCTACAATCTTGTAAATGCTGCCTATGAGACTTATAGGTCTATAATCTCTTAGCTCTATAGCTCCTTTTCTTTTAGGGATGAGTGCAATAAATGATGCGTTGAAAGACTTAACCATGTGGCAGTTTTGATGGAAATGGTTGATGGCGGCAAGTACATCGTGCTTAATGGTATCCCATGACTTCTGAAAGAAGGCCATTGTGAAGCCATCTGGACCGCGGCTCTTGTCAGGTCCACCAATAGGCATTAAGTAGTGAAGTGGTGCTTAAGTTTCTTTAGGAACTATTCTTCTCTGAAAATTGATCCGTCTATGCTGCTTCAGTTTAACTGAGCAGTTTCAGTCCGAGGATAAGGAACTCAAGAAAGGCATCATCTCTAGTCATTGCAACTTCTATCTTTTTGAAAAAAGGAAAGAAATGATGCTCTTGTTAGATTGGGAGATGCTCTTGGGATTATAATCCTCTTTAGTTCTTTGTATCAAATATTGTGATTAGTTTCACTCTTTCTTGCTTTGATTTTAGATAAAAAAATGTAGCCTAAATTTTTGGCACATCCAATTTACTAGGAGTAAGACCCAACACAGTAAAGTGATCACAGAGGGCCCACGGGATGAGATGCCATCAGCTAGGAAAAATTGGTGGATCCATTGATAGCCTGGTGGTGAAGGCATCTTCTGGCAATACTCTTGAACATACTTTTGCTAGGACTAGGACCCTATCAACTGGTCCTATTTCGAGCATCATGAATGCATAGTCCTCTCTCACTACTAAGAATGCACATGGCTTTTGTTCTTTCATTTGCACAAGTGTTCTTTAACCCGTTAGAATACTCTAAAAGTATTAAAGAACAACACAGACCTCCTCACAAAGGAGAGGTTCACTTTCCTTGAACTTTCCCCAACAAGGCTAGATAGACTGTATCAATGGGTTTGGATGATCAACATAAGCTTTCATTAGGAACAGCATAAATTAGTGTAAGATTGAAAAGAAAATTGGATGCCTGATGTTAAAATGAATACACCCTGGGACAGCATGGCTGGAACATCACTTTCAGAATAAGACTGAATGATCGGGAATTAGTGGAGAATTGCTGATTGAGTTTGGAAGTTTTCAAAGTACATAAAGAGTATGAAGACACCCTTCTTTGGAACAACTGCAAGAATGAGATTTATGCTGTCAAGTATGCCTATCCTTTGATCTCAAACACAGGTCAATACATAGATCGATGGCCATGTAAGAATATAAGGAAAGTTAAAGCTCCCTTTAAAGTGGCCTGTTTTTCATGGCTGGTGGAAGAGAAGCCTGCCTAACCCAAGAGAACCTGAAGAGAAGGGGATTCCAGCTCTGTTTTAGGTGCCTGCTCTGTGGCAGAGCTCTGGAAACCAATAGCCATTTGTTCCTACACTTCCCCATCACTAGACAATCGTGGCAACTGTTCCTTAACATTGTGGGCCTCACATGGGCCATGCTTGTAACCACTGTTGATTTACTAAAATCTTGGAACAATAATAGAGGTTCTCTGAGGCAGAAGACATGGTGGAGACTGATACCTGCCTGCATTTGGTGGACAGTACGGAAAGAGAGGAACTTAAGAGTTTTTGAAGATAGATACAATTCCCTCCAAGATGTTAAGATGAATTGTATCCTTTTGTTCCATTTTTGGTGTAAAGAAAGTCATGTAGAAAGTAAGAATCTTTGGTAGACATGTTAGGCTTTTTGTAATTAAGGTGGATCATACTTGATCCAACCCTCCATGTACATATGGCTTGCACTGCCTTAGTGCTTTTTATTATTACATTGCTACCAGTCTCAGGAAAAGGTGGAAAAGAAAAAGGGATTTCTAACCATTTTATTATCCTATAACACTAAAATACCGACCAATAAACGAAACCAAGTTATCTATTTTTACTATAATACTTTGTTTAAACTCTATCTCACGATGTATCATTTGATAACTCTAAACATCTTCCATGTTTGATTGGACTTCATGTGTTGTGAACAGCAGGGTATTTAACCTATTTTTCTTTAGGATTTTCGAAATGATAGAAGACCAATAGGACAAAACCAAACTAAAGAGAAAAGTACTTCCCCCTCACCTGGCTCTTTTGGAGATATAAGGTTGAAACACTTTTGCCTTTTTAGTTACTTTCCTTGTGCTAATTTAGTGAATTGCAGGTTTATGTAAGACCAGCAGGTAGTTATGTAATGGACCAGCTAGAGTTGCGTCGCATTACTTTTCATCCACGTGTTAATGCAACTGATCTTGTGATTCTAACTGGTAACTTTAGCATTCCTGCGGGCTTAAGAGCGGCTGAAGCAGCTCTTTCGAGACAAGAGGTACATCAGTTTCTCCTTCAAATTTGTTTTACACTGAATGTATGACTTTACTGTGTTTGAGTAGCCTTATTTATCTTAGGCAGAATTACTTCCTGAGCTTGGAGCTGTGGTGTTCCCTATGGTAAAACACCCATTTATTGTTGGGTTTTTAGTTGCGGAACTCCCAAGAACTGCATTTGATAAGGGTGGGTTTAATGTGAAAGCATGGCCTGGCCAGGAGGAGTTCTATTCCTTGCCTCCTAGCACGGATTTGAAATCGTTGAATATCCAAACTTCAACTGACCACTCCTTTGAGATGTTAAAATTCACAGCTGAGCAAAGATTAAATGCTATAAATATTTCCCGTTCACTTGCAATGGCTTATGTCATGGATCAGGTACGAACAATGATATGAAAAAGGTGCTAAGTATATTATGTCTAGAATTCAATTAATTCATTTACATCCCTCTATGTATAAATATTTCTTTGAAATATGCAATTACTGTAACATCCAAAAACTCATAATAGTATCATCTAAAAAATGGCTAAAATATTGACGATATAACACCACTTCTAACTTTTTCGTATTTGTTGCCATGAAATTTCTTCTTTGAGCATTTTGTTATTTAGTTTTCTTGTTTTCTCTTTTTTCCAGTTTTGCACAATAATTTCATCATAAATCTTGCATTGATATAATTTTGTTTTAGAATTAACTTATTTTGTCCTTGTCAGAAAGCAATTTTGCTCCAACAGTCCACCTGGCAAAATAATATCAGGATGAGCAATTTGGTTGAGCAAGTAAGATTTGCACTGCAGCTGCACCCATATATGCCATCAATTTAAGGTGGTCGACATGTACGGCATACAGATTTCAGGACATAATAGATTTTTTATGAATATTTAATGTGCAGATTCGGGGTTCGCTTTCCAGTATTCGAACTTTGAGTAAGATGTTATCTTCTCAGATTAGAAAGAGTGAGGTATTTTGCTCAAGAAATTTACACCCACAACCTTTTCTTTATCCTGCTTCATCTTCTTTTTTCCCCCAAATAATTGTTACTTTTCGTGGGATTTTTTTTTATCAATTACTTTAATGATGGATTAATCTGCACATATGACCTATTGCAGATTTCATATGATATTGTTCAAGACATCTTGGAGCAAGGTGATTGCTTGAGTGATTCTCTTAAGGGACTCCAGGATGCTGTTTCCCTAACAAAGGTACTTCACCAACTGCGCCTCGCTCTCCTTGTTCTTGACTTCTTGTATGTGTCTCTGACCGAGAAGGGAAGGAGAAAGATTGAAGCAAGCCTCTTTTTCAGTTTAAAAGAACTAGAATTTTCTGGGAAACTTGAAAGGGTACAAACTTGAGGCATTCAATACTAAGAGCAAGTTGGAATTCCAACGAGACCATGTAAAGAGGAAATAAATTCTAGTCATGAACTAAAATCTCTCAACCCTGGAGGATATTAGTAACACTAGAAGATTGAACTTCTCAAACATCAATTAGAATACATTGCAACAGATATAGGTCCACATTAAGAAGGTCCATCTAGACTTCGTCAACTTTGTTTGCCTTAGTTGTTGACTTGCCTACAAGTGATTTTGAGAATAACAAAGATAAATTGTTGAATATTATGGGCTTATACATTTTTCAGGCTAATATAATGCGTTATAGTGAAGAAACATTGAAAAAGATGCCTAAATCAACTCATCCTGGTCGTGAGTCGGTGAGGTCTCAGTTATCCAGTAACTTGTCTGAGGAGCAAGAATCTCTCTCTTTAAAATCCAAGGATCTAGAAATGCCGATGCCACCTCTTGCTCTAGCACCTTTACGCCAGGAAGGAATCAGGTAAACTTTTGTTTCTCAAACTTTTTTTCGGTTTAGAGACCTACGGATCTGGAAAGTACAAATTGCATTATGTCAACTTCAAAAAATGCTAAGGCATATGACATCATAATAACGTACTAAAGAATTTCAATCTTTCCCATTCTCTTTATTCAGCCATCAACTTCCCGAGATTTTTGCTTGATGGCTCTCCTTTCCCTCCTGTTTCTTCCTTAAAGTTGCCCTGTATAGATGCTTCTTCTATTGGTTGACAAGTCTAATGAATACTCACTTAGGCAGCTACGGATGGCCGTTTTTTGTTTTCCTAGTTTGATGCCAAATGATGATTTTTGAGTTTTGATTGTGTGCTGTGTGGAACAACTCTTTGGTTTTGGAGATTGTTAATAATTCCTTTTTTTTTCATTTTCATTTTGGTTGGTCTTTTTCCTCTTCACCTCTTCGCCCAAAAGACCATGCAATGTTTCTGATGTACTGGTGGATTTGGTGGGAGCAGTGGCGCCTTTAGCACACGAGCAGAGGAGAGCTGTTTTACTTTCTGAGGTTCCGAGAACTTTACAGGTGCCCATTGAAGAGCCTGCTTTACGACAGGCATTGGGTAATCTGATCGAGGGTGCTTTATTGCGTATACAAGCTGGTGGAAAGGTTGAAATTGTTGCCACTGGAGCACCTGCAGGGGGTGCTCTTGTTATAATTGATGATGATGGCCTTGATATGCACTATATGGTAAAGTGTCATGAACTCTATTCTATTTCGTGATCATTGAGACAATGCCTTGATACAAAGATGATACATTGTGGGACTTAAAAATGAAAATAGGAACTTAATAATAGTAAAGGATTTTATAACTTTGAAAATAGACACCTTCTCAAAAAAAACTTTTAAAATAGACAGATGATGGGCATTGATATGAACTATATGCTCATGATTGATTTTATCATCTGGCTTGTGTGCTAGTTAGCACTGAAGTATTTTCTCCTCATTTTGTATAGACACAGATGCACTCTCTAGCACCTTTTGGGGCAGATCTATTTTCTGAAGATAAGGTAGAGGATAACATGACATGGAATTTTGTGGCTGGACTAACTGTTTCACGAGAAATATTGGAGAGTTATGGATGTGTCGTGCGGGTGATCTCACCAAGATTAACAGATGCTGCAATTGGAACTGGGGGAACCCGTGTAGAACTCTGGTTTCCCTCTTTATCTTCTTCATCTGTCGTAAATGGCCCTTCTCATGAGGATTAACAAATACTGGGAACTCCACTGTCATTCATTCAGTTGTTGAAAGAACATGAACATACAAAAAATTTCCTGCTTAATCCTCTGCGGATGCTGAGATGGAAAAATTTAAAAGAGCATGTACTTTTCTGATTCATCTAGAGACACAAATTTACCAAATGACTAACTTCTCTCCTACTGGAACTGAGCAAAATGTGGAAGGTATAGCGAATGATACTAGAAGGCTCCTTTTGGCTTTGTCAACCGCTTTCTCTCGTTGTTCAAGCCTTCTACAGAAAAAACAATGCAAGAAGACTCTTTTGTATATATTATAGCGTAGTAGCTGTTCCCTTTTACGGTCTATTATCTGTTGTGTTGCTCACAATATTTTGATTGACTATGGACCAGTTACATGGACAGAATTCGCCAGTTGTATAGATCAGTATACGTCTACAGATGCTCCAGATGAAACTTTTTGCATTGCTGGGACTTTTATTGGATAAACTAGCAAATATACACACACACACATTCTCTCTCTCTCTCTCGATTGATCGATCTCAATACTAGTTTCTACAAGTTCCTAAAAATCCTCTCCCCACAGCCATGGCGATAGCTTCTTTATTAGCTTATTCTTTTTTCTCTGATTTACTATTCAAAATTGTGAGGAAGAATATTTTGGGAAAGACTCAAATTTTGCTTCTATACTTCACTTTACCTTATGCATCAGCAGTTTGAAAGATAATAGGAAAATGTAATTTTTCTGTTCCATTGGGACTGATTTTTCATCCAGCTAATTAATATAAATAATCATTTATTGTTGAAAGAAAAGAGTAGAACATTGTATCTTTGACCTAGCGATTAAGAAGATGGAGGTACGTGCTTAGATCTATGTGTTGATATTCTTTTAGCATAAATATGGATATTATTTCCAAATTATTTGTACTAGAAGATTCAATAATTTAGTAATTATTGACGTAAATAGTACTTCATTCGCCATCTAAAGAATGTAGGTTTAAGGTTGAACCATTGAAGGCCACCAATGTATAAAATTTTAAATTGAATTCGAATATCAATTTCTTAAATTTAAAAAAATATATTTAAAAACTATACTTAAAGAAAAAGATAATATTTGACATTTTTGTCAGCAAAAATTATTTGAGTCAATAAATATATAATAATAGCAATTTTCTTAAAAATCCTCAGCCTTTAGCATTTAAAAGTTTAGAAGGTGTAACCTTTGAGTGTCTTTATGGTTAATTGATTTTGCTGGCAAGAGTTGACTTTTATTTTTGAGCTTTGTGCTTTTGTGTTAAAAGTTTTGATGGGAGCTTCTTAATCCACTTCGTCTGTTTTGGAGCTAACTTGTGCAGATGAGAAGATGTTTTTTAAGTTATATATATTGCTATACCTTTAAATTCAAGAAAGTATGGTTGTATTGTATTTAAAGAGGCGTGAATTTGTAGAATAGGTTGAATGTAAAGAATAAGTCAAATAAGACTCACAGTGGCTTGTTTTCGGGGACATAGAATTGAGGAATTGAAATTAGGCTAGTGCTTCATCTATTGATCAAGTTGCTATAGTCAAAAGCCAGGCACATGACCATTTTTTTAGTTGCTTGAGGATTGTAAAGTTAAGTGAGGCACATGACCAATTTTCTAGTTGCTTGTGGATTTGTAAAGTTACGTGAGTTGAGTGCGGATGCACAAAATGTCTCTTGACTTTGCATGAGGTTTGGATCTTTGCTGTGGTTTTAAGGTTTCTAGTACTATAAAAATCTATTGGGGGCAATCTAGTGTATGGGCAATTCTTCTGGGGCTGGTGAACCGGACTGTTTCCCTCTCGATGATGAAGCTTATCTCCTATCGTCTCACTTGCGGACCTTGACCTCTGTTATTTTGAGGTCATATCTACTATTCAGAGTTTACCTCGATTTGCTCGCAGCCCGCATACCTTTACTTTACGACAGCTTTGCCGTAGGCGTTCACTTGCATCACATCATCTTCAACCAACCTCCGCACGAGCACCCCATAATAGTTTGTTTAACTCTTGAAGTATGTTGTGCAGCTCCAATTGCTTAAACCCAGCTGAAACTATGAGGCTTATTGTTTCCATATGTTGCGGTGTCATTTTTGGCTTATTCATTGGAATTTCATTTCCTACTAGTTCATTAACCAAGGTATGGATAACGCCTTCCTTTTTCATACAATCATATGGTGGTCTTATTCGTGCAGTTTTTGTAATTTCATATACGTCCAATTAAGTAACTTCTTTCGGTTCCAATTTGGCAGCTAAATATTACAACCAGTATGTTTGTAAGCAACTTCCCAATTGCTAGTGACAGAAATAACATTGATTCTTCTACCAAAATTCAGAATGGTACAGATCAAGTGAAGGTATTTTCTTCTTTCTGCACTTCTTCCAGAAATAACAATTTTATAGACATCAAATGTGAAGACACTAGTGCAAAATGCCTTCTAAGAATACAGAAGGAACTTACTCTTGCTATTCTCCTTTAAAAGGAGTTTGTGTGCACATTGAGTGACATGGTTTTTCGATAGATCCCTGCTAGAGTTGAATATATGGTCATCAACTCTATTATTTTTTGGAAATCTCCACCGGTGGCACACTGTTTGAAACATGGTGAAAAATGGGCCTGCCCGTTTACCTTTCTCAACTTAAATACCAGACTTTGTTTGTGGCATGGTTCGATCCAATGCATGCGCTTAACCCACACATCATGCATTGCTCTGTTACAGCTAGACCAAAGCCCGGGGGGAAATTCTAGCCTATCCTGCATAGCAACTGTTAACAATGCATCACAATCTTAAGATAATAATCACATTTTTCTATCTGATAGTAGTAATCCTTATTCTAACCAGATTTGGGTTGAATCAAACCCAAAAGGGGCAGAAAGATTACCTCCAGAGATCATTGCTTCTGAGTCCGACTACTATACCCGGAGATTGTGGGGAAAACCCAATGAGGTAAATGTTCTGTTACAACTTCTGTGTCATGTTTGCTTAACTCTATAGACCGATACTCTTATCATGTTTTATCTGCAGGACCTACCACCCAGCAAGCCAAAATATCTGGTAACATTTACTGTAGGTATTAATCAGAAGTATAATGTTGATACTAATGTTAAAAAGGTATATCAGTCTGTTTCCTTTTATAACTCCCTCCCTCCTCTCTATTCCCAGTTCCTCACTCGTTTTTCCTGTGCAGTTCTCAGACGACTTTACGATTCTTCTTTTTCACTATGATGGTAAGACGACTGAATGGGATGAATTCGAGTGGTCAAAACGAGCCATCCATGTCAGTGCTCGGAAACAAACAAAATGGTAAGTAAACCATGTTAGTGACACCAACTTTACCTGTGATCAACTTTAAACCATGTTAGTGACAAGAAGTTTACCTCATTATAAGGTGGTATGCAAAAAGGTTTCTGCATCCAGACATTGTCGCCCCATATGACTATATTTTTATCTGGGATGAAGACCTAGGAGTTGAGAATTTTGATGCCAAGGAGTAAGTATTTTGTAATTTCCCGTGTTTAACGACACAATATCTTAGTTTTTCTAAATTCGCCTGTCCAACACTTTCAGGTACATTAGACTTGTCAAGAAGCATGGTTTGGAGATTTCACAGCCAGGTTTAGATCCCAAGAAAGGAACAACATGGCAAATGACAAAGAGAAGAGGTGATGGTGAAATTCACATGTAAGAGCTTGGAATCCCATGATATCATTTATCTATCGAGTCCTGTTTCGCTCTCATCCTTTTAACTGTTTTTGTACTTGTTGATCAGGATAGCAGAAGAGAAACCTGGTGTGTGTCCAGACTCTCATTTGCCTCCATGTTCAGCGTATGAATACTTCTCCTGTTTGCTGTTTTGTTTCACTTCTTACTTTGTCCTTACCACATACTCTTCTATGTTTTCAGATTCATAGAGATCATGGCTCCTGTCTTTTCGCGAGATGCATGGCGTTGTGTGTGGCATATGATTCAGGTATCTCAGCTTGCATGTTAAACGCGGAGAAGGTCTTACACTTTGTGCAATGTTGAGATTGACTGTGTTGTTTTGTGACTTGTAGAATGACTTGGTCCATGGTTGGGGACTTGACTTTGCACTTCATAAATGTGTTGAGGTAAGTTCAACTCATCGAATGAATTCAGTCTTCTTAGCTACTTTCTTTCACATGTATTCAAGGCACTAAGCATATATACATATTCTGTTTTGAAGCCTGCTCATGAGAAAATTGGAGTTGTAGATGCTCAATGGATTGTTCATCAAAGTGTCCCTTCCCTTGGAAATCAGGTAACAAGATGAAGTGATAGTAACCAACCTAAGTTGCTTCAACACGGCAGTTTAGGTGCCGCACCCGTGTCGACGCGACACTAGTATAGGTATGGGTATGGGTATCCGTACCGGATCTGGTCAAATGCTTTTGAGTACTTTGACCACAACATACAGAAAAATTCGAGAGGATATACAATTTGATTCCCGAAATCATAACCAAAATTAGGGTAAATTTGAAGAAAATAACATATTTTATTCAAGAAATCAATCCTTTACTTATCTACAACTTGAGAATAAAAAAGAACTCCGCTTTACAAGCTACACCTAAGTATTCCACAAAATTTCTCATAGTTTAGAGATATTTTTATATTTTTATATTGTTTGAATTATTTTTAGCCAGATCCCTGCACCCGCATCCATAATAGGATCCGTATCTCCGAATTTTAGAATTTACTTTTCGAAGAATCCGATCTCTAAATCTGCATCCGTGTCCGAGCAACTTCGTAACCAACTATATTAATGGACATGTAATATGCTAGTTAGTGTAACATAAAGCCATCTTTAGTTTATGCCAAAGGGAGTAGATTTACTTGGGTATATTGGCTTTTACACCAAAGTGACCACTTTTTTCCTTTCCTCATTCATTCTATACAGGGGCAGTCAAAAGATGGGAAGGCTGCATGGAAAGGGGTAAGTAGACCTATGTCACATTTGAACTCTTGGGCATATAATCTTTCTATTGACTGTTGTTCATTTATTCCTTTGGAATATGTCTCTTTAGCTACTTGTTTTTCATTATTTTCCACTTTAAAACTTGAAGCAGGTGAGAATTGCTGTGTGATTAATTGAACTTGTGTGTTGTTGTGGCAGGTGAGGGAGAGATGTGAAAATGAATGGGCAATGTTTCAATCAAGAGTAGCAAATGCAGAGAAAGCCTATTTCAAGTCAAAAGGAATTGATACTTCCAATTTCGAGTCAAAAGGACTTGATCCTTCTAATTTCACATCTCATTGAGTTAATTTAGTCAAATTGATGGTTATACTTACTCTTGGCAATTTTGCCTAGGATAATAGGTGATTCATCTTGTAAAATAGATAGTCAATAGTTCTTAAGATACATTAAAATTTTAAAGTAAAGAATATTATAGAGATTCTTTTGATAATCGCATACATGATTGCAATGTACTTATA